CAGGTAGTAATCTCACAGCCCTGTGTGGGGCTCCGTGCTGGGCATGGAGCCTGCTTAAGATTCTCCCTCCCTCTCCCTTTGGCCCGCCCCTGCTCAAGGGGGTATGCACAGGAACTCTCTCCAAAAGAAAAAAGAAATAATAAGAAAATTAAGCACAGAGTGAGCAGAACAAATACAAAAGACAATCAGGAATCAATGAAATAGAGAATCAATGAAATATGAAACAGGAAAACAATACTAAAAAAAGAAAAACCTATGGAACAAAGTTTTGTTTTTTTTTTTTACAAAGATCAATAAAACTGATAAGCCTCTAGCCAGGCTGATCAAGAAAAAAATATATATCAGAACAAAAGAGGGCATACTTCATACCGATTCTACAGTTATTAAAAGGAAAGAGAGTTGTAAGACAGTAAATCTAAAATTATCGTTGGGGAACGCCATTGAAAAGAACACTTGTACAGCATACAGACTAAACCCAGTCAAGGCCTCTTTATAAACTTTTAAGATTTGGCAGGTGGGTGCAGGGAACTATTCATCTCACAGCAGCCCAAGACAAGCCTCATACATAAGTTCCTTTGCTTATTAAAAGTGCCACCTACCAACCTGGCGTGGGCCTGCCCCTTTCTTGGCTGGTCTCTCCCTGCCTTCTGAGTACAGGAACCAGTTTCAGAGTTGCTCTTCAAAAGGCACAATTAAGAAAACAAAAGGGCAAGACAAAGACTGTGAGAAAGTATTTCCAATACCGGGATCTGACAAAGGGCCTTCCTCCAGAATACATAAACAGCCCATCCAACTCAAGACAAAAAAAGAAGTTAAAAATGAGCAAAAGGTGTAAGCAGGTAAATTAACAAAAGAAAAGGCCAAAAGCACACACAAGATGCTCAACATCACTATCATCAGGAAAATGCACATAAAACCAAGATGAAAAACCTACTAGAATGGCTAAAGTCAAGTTACTAGTTGGAATGTAAAATGGTACAGCCACTTTGGAAACCAGTCTGGCAGTTAAACGTACAACTGCAATGTGACCCAGGATTTCCAAATCCTACGTACATATCCCAAGAAAAATGAAAACCTATGGTCACACGAAGACCAATAACGTTCACAGCATTTCATTTATACGTACCTAAAGAAATATAAAGCTGGACACAACACAATATCTATCAACTGATAAGCGGAATAACTGTGGCATAATCATTCTATGAAATACTACTTAAAGCTTAAAAAGAAGACAATATTAACACTTACAACAACATGGATGAGTCTCAAAATTAGCATGCTAAGTGAAAGACATGAAAAGCAAAAAAATACTTGGATCCAGCTGTGGGCATTCTAGGAAAGGCAAAATTAGAGAGATAGAAAGCAAATAATTAACTGGGACCGGGGGTCAAGAATGGGCCTCAACTGTAAAGGGGCACAAGGGAACACTGAGCGACAGAAGTGTTCTATATCTTAATTGTAGTAATGGTTACACAACCTCATATATACTGCCAAAACACAGCAAGCTTGTACACTTAAAATAAATAATGTAAATTATAATTCAAAAAAGCCAGAGGAAAAAACTCATCAGATATTTGTGTGGACCTAAACAATTTAGTTTATTTAGAAAAACAACCAAGAAAGGACAGCCAAGAAAATCCTAAAAACAAGAACAATGGGGAAAGGGTACCAGAGTGCTACTACATATTAAAATATATTAGGGGCACCTGGGTGGCTCAGTCAGCTGGGTGTCCGACGTCGGCTCAGGTCATGATCTCACATGGTTCATGAGTTCGAGCCCCACGTCAGGCTCTGTGCTGACAGCTCAGAGCCTGGAGCCTGTTTCGGATTCTGTGCCTCCCTCTCCCTTTCTCTGCCCCTCCCTGGCTCACACTGTCTGTCAAAAATAAATAAACATTAAAAAAATAATAAAAAAAGAATATACATAAATAGCTAATATGTTCATAAAAAGATGCTAAACATCATCGGCCATTTGAAAAATGGAAATAAACAGTATAACAAGATGCTACTTCACACCCACGTGAATGGCTGGCTACACTCAAAAACTGAACAATTGTAAGCACTGACAAGATGTGGAGAAACTGAAACCCTTTACATTACAAGAATGTAAAATGTTATAGCCACTCTGGGAAAACAGTTTCTTAAAATGTTAAATACAGATTTACTCTACAGCTCAGCAACTGCACTCCTGGCTATCTACCCTAGAGGACTGAAAATATCCGTCCACACAAAACATGTACAACACAAATGTTCAAAGCGGCATTAGTCACAAGAGCCAAAAAGTGACAACTAAAATGCTCATCAACTAATGAATGAATAAAATGTGGTATAGCCATACAATGGAATATTACTAATAACTAAAGAAACAAAGTATTAATAAATGCTACAAATGGATCAACCTTGAAAACGTATGCTTAGTGAAAGAAGCCAGTCACAAAAAAATATATAAGATATGATCTCATATATACCAAACATCCAGAAATACAAATACATAGAGACAAAAAGTAGATTAGTGCTTGCCAGAGGTTGGGCCTGAGGTTTCATTATGGGGGAGATGAACATGTCCTAAAATAAGACTGTGGTTACGGATGTACAACTCTAAAAATTTACTAAAAGTCACTGAATTGCATAGTTAAAACAGTTGAATTTTATGCTATGTAAAAACTGCATTTCAATGAGCTTTAAAAAATAAAGATAGGGGCGCCTGGGTGGCGCAGTCGGTTAAAGCGTCCAACTTCAGCCAGGTCACGATCTCACGGTCCGTGAGTTTGAGCCCCGCGTCAGGCTCTGGGCTGATGGCTCAGAGCCTGGAGCCTGTTTCCGATTCTGTGTCTCCCTCTCTCTCTGCCCCTCCCCCATTCATGCTCTGTCTCTCTCTGTCCCAAAAAAATAAATAAACGTTGAAAAAAAAAAAAATTAAAAAAAAAAAAAATAAAGATAATGGGAATGCAAGCTGGTGCAGCCACTCTGGAAAACAGTATGGAGGTTCCTCAAAAAACTAAAAATAGAACTATCCTATGACCCAGCAGTTGCACTACTAGGCATTCATCCACAGGATACAGGTGTGCTGTTACAAAGGGACACGTGCACCCGCATGTTTATAGCAGCACGATCAACAATAGCCAAAGTATGGAAAGAGCCCAAATGTCCAACAATGGATGAATGGATAAAGATGTGGTGTGTATGTATATATATATATATTTGTGTATACACACACACACACACACACACACACACACACACACAGATACAATGGAGTATTACTCGGCAATCAAAAAGAATGAAATCTTGCCATTTGCAATTACGTGGATGGAACTGGAGGGTATTATGCTAAGTGAAATTAGAAAAAGACACAAATCACAGGACTTCACTCATATGAGGACTTTAAGAGACAAAACAGA